TAAACACGGATCAGTGCTGCGCCAAACTGCTTGACTCGTTGGGCTTTTGCTCTGCCCGAACTGGGGAAGGCAACAAAGGTGTTCCATTCAGGGCCACCTTCTTAGTTTTGGGTATGGAGGCAAATCTCTCTGAGCTCCATCTTGGCAGCGTGGTTTTATCCAACTAGGTGGGAAGGGTAGAAAGGCTTGTGGAGAAGCTTGAGGCCATTAACGATGACGAGCGAATGACCAAAGCGTGAGGGTCAAGTGCTTCTGGGCCTGTTGCGTTTTGGGGCGGGTTTCTATTCCGGAATGACCTTGAAGCGCGTGTGCGTTGGCTTGAACCGCATTATTCACAACCAGGCCACGCTTGTGTCAGAGGGCTTGCAGGCGCTTCGCAGCAACCCTCGTCAGCTCACCTTCAGGCATTTGCCATGTGTGGATGGATGGATCATCAGAAACGGGCTCGCGGGCATAGGAGCAGTGGTTGTTGACCTGGCGTCATGCCGGCAGACCTGTTGCGTGCTGGCGTGATGAGGTGAGCGTTTGATTTGTCACACAGAGCTTTTCATTGTCCAGGCAAGCAAGAGCACCCTCAACAGCGTGTTGAGGCGCCGTAGAGTGGTGCGTTGGATCAACAACGAGGCATCAAGACTGGCCCTAGTGAAGGGTTACAGCCATTCACAGATCATGGATCGTGCCATATGCAATTGCTGCGAGCTTGAGGATACCAACCCGAGCCTGAGTTATGCCAGAGCGCCCGCAAGAGCAAACATAGCAGATTGGCCATCCGGCCAGGAGGCAGCCAGGGCAGCCCATATGATCAATGTCCAGGATGTCCAAGAAAGTTCCTACGTTTTGCAGTTGAGGCGCTTCATAGGGGGGTAATCCCGGTGCCGAATGCCAAAGCGGATGCGAGACTGCAAACAAGGGCTGAGCCGAAGTCGTGTCGGCAGTGTCTACGCCAAAACCGTCTGAGCCCTCGTTGCGTCTGGAATGGAAAAATGAAGGTCGCCAGTGTCTAGGAACATTGTGCATTTGAGTGATTGGTAAATTGATGCGTGATTGCCAATACTATTTGAGTGGGCTGATTTATATTCAGATCCCATCATTTGCAAAATTATCACTTTGATTCTGTGGAAGGTCATTGTGATTTTACCTATGCGGATGAACTTGTCTGCCTGCTTTCTGCCAATACCAGCTCTGTCCTTGCCGCTTGGCTGGTTTTGTTGCTCTGCGTGCTGCGCGTCCCCATGAGCTGGCATAAGGCCTCCCTGTCCCCAACTCCTGTCTGGATTTGGCTGGGTCATCTGCCTGACTGCCAACGTGGAGGATGGGAAGCAGGCTCGCCGATCACCCTGCTCAAATCTGTCCGCGGCCTCAAGGTCTGCGCCCTGGTGACATTTGAAAAATTTATTGGGAAGCTCAATTGGCTGTCTGGCTCAGGCCTTTCACCGTACGCTGGCGAGTCTTCTCGCATCCCTGTGCACTTTGCGCTTACCCCTAAACAGTGGCATCTTTGGGTATTCCTCGTCTGATGCAGACCTCGTCATCACCTCTGACCTCGGCAGCCGAGAGCCGAGCCTCGGCATCCCTTCTCCGCCCGTGGCTTCTAATTCTAGCTGTTGCCAACTCTCCTGTCCGTGCTAGAGCTGACCTTCCTGCGCATTGGACCTAAGTCCTGGTCTCATGATCGGCCTGTCTCACAGGCTTCTCAAGAGGTCACCCGCCTCGGGCTGGACCTGCTTTTGCAGCCCCGTCGCTTGCGCGCTGCGTTCTTGTCAGACCGCTACTGCAGCGTGAGGCTTGTGCTGACGCTTGTGCCTCTGCCGGGTTGGATGGCTTTGTCCGTTTCCCTGGCAGCCAAACCTGTTACATTCAGGATTAATTCTCCTGCGCTGACCTTGCTGCCTTGGTGCACTGGTTTTCTCCGACTGCTGTCCTGCAGCGCTTCATAGCCTGTTGGGAGCTCCCGGCTCAGATCACACTTGTCTGGCTGGTTCATCCTATGCTCCCGCCCAGCCATATGCCTGTGCATGGTCACCGGTCGTGTGGCGACGCTGTTGCCGAATCTGCTTCATGGAAAGGCCTGTCTACTGCCAAAGGGGCCAAAGGTCTCTGCCACGGCGCTGCCACGTACTACGCTTATGTATGGCGGGGCTGCATGGCAGAGGTCATCCCTGGAAAGACTAGAAATGTTCCAAAAAAAGCGAAACAAAAGCTCTTGGAAAATGCGTTTGGAAAAAATGCATTTTCAAAATGCAAACAAAAGCTTAAAAAACGCTTTTCCAGGACAATCTCCGGATTCCACAAAAGTGGAAAAAAGCAAAAGAAACGCTGCACAGGCTGGAAAAACGCTTTTTTCTCGCATTTGGAAATTGTGGAAATAGCTTTTTTTTGCATTTTATAATGTAAAATGCAAAAAAAAACCTTTTGTCACGCCATTCTGCAAATGCTGGATTTTTTTTTGCATTTTACACTGCAAAATGCAAAAAAAAACTGCTTCACGCCATTCTGCAAATGCGGGCAAAACAGCCTTTTCTCGCATTTGGAAATTGTGGAAAAATAGCTTTTTTTGCATTTTGCAATGTAAAATGCAAAAAAAATTCTTACAATTTCCAAAATGCGAGGAAAAAACTTTTTCCAGCATTTGGAAATTGTGGGAAAATTGTTTTTTGCATTTTACATTGCAAAATGCAAAAAAAGCTATTTGTCCACAATTTCCAAATGCGAGAAAAGGCTGTTTTTCCCGCATTTGCAGAATGGCGTGAAGCAGCTTTTTTTATTTGCATTTTGCAGTGTAAAATGCAAAAAAAAATCCAGCATTTGCAGAATGGCGTGACAAAAGGTTTTTTTTTGCATTTTACATTATAAAATGCAAAAAAAAGCTATTTCCACAATTTCCAAATGCGAGAAAAAAGCGTTTTTCCAGCCTGTGCAGCGTTTCTTTTGCTTTTTTCCGCTTTTGTGGAATCCGGAGATTTTCCTGGAAAAGCTTTTTTTTTTAAGCTTTTTGCATTTTGAAAATGCATTTTTTTTCCAAGCGCATTTTCCAAGAGCTTTTGTTTCGCTATTTGGGAGCATTTTTAGTCTTTCAAGGAATCCTTGCCCCAAGCAGCCATCGCCATACATAATACTACGCTGTTTCTCGCATTTTCAAAAAGACCGTCGGGTGTCTGCTCACATTAACCACATCCCTGAAATTCTAAATGACCTGACTGACAAGCTGAGCCGGTCTTCTGATCCCTTGCAGCTGGGTTTCAGCCATCAGGCCCGCTCGCCGCCTTGACCCTTGATTCCCTGCTTGTCACCCAGGTCTATCCGCCTGGCTTGAGCATTTGCGCCTTTCTTGGTGCACTGTCCTGAGCGTCGTTTTGGATGCATCACATCATCGCGGGTCAATCCACTGCACGTTCGGTTTGAGTCGCGTCTTGGCCGTTGATGCAGCCAGCCTTTTCTATCTGTAGGTTCCCTGCAGGTTTCTGTCTGCACCTCCCAGGTGCTGACTCACAGGGACTAATCTGTCCCTGTCCTTTCTGCCACTTGCAATTCTGCGCTAAGGAAAACGGTTCCGCCTGCACTGTTTTGCTTCCGTCTGTAACACTGTCTGACGTAACGGACTAGTCATGGGGCGAAACAGTAATCAGGCACCGAAATCCTCAAGTACATGTTTTATGACTTTTAGTTTTTTGGATCCGGACATTACTTTTTCTGATGCTTGCATGGCCTTGCTCTGAAAATGCTGCTTGGTGGTACCAACTTGTTCAGCCCCTGAAATGTGCGCGCCATTTCTGTTGCAAGTGCAGCCCTGATTATGCCAAGCATCCTATGCTTTGAAAAGTCCTCACGAACTTCCCAAGACGCCCAACTCTGAGGCTCCTCCGCCTCATCTATGAGGCCCTATACATCTTCAGTAACTGGCCAAGGACCACCTGCTTCAATTGGCCCCGTTACAACCCCTTCAGAAACAGACGCAGAGGGAGGGCGGAAAAACCGCCAAATCAAAATCACCTTGAGTATTGCGCCAGTCACGGAGCAGTCTCAGCGGAAGTTTTTTTTGCGCAGGCTTTGCCGTTAGGCCCGTTAGGCCCACAAGATTTGGGTATGCACGCGCAAGTTTTTGTTTTCGGTTTTTGGTGCAATTTTCAGCATCCGAAGATTTTGGTGTTAGAAAATGTACGTTGAAGGTATCAAACCGCAGCAGCGCTAAAAGCCGCAGCGGTGAGATGTGTGCGGAATTGTTAGCGCTAGCACACGTCTGCTTCCAGTCAAATTTTAACAAAGACTAACAGTGGCCATGTCTTGCCATAGCGAATTACGCACGTCAAACAAGAATGCTATAGCTGTTGATGTTGTGACATGTACTGTTGGCCAACATTACAGAAGTATATGAATGAAATGATATTACTACAGCACGTTTGTTGGTTGATGAAAAAGCAGAATAGGTTGCAGGTGGTGTGTTGCATTGTGGGACATGCAATGACACATAATTCAAATTGTTTGCCATTGGCCGATACATACAATTATTGTGATGCGTCACGGTTTAATTCATATCATGTTTTGCTAATGCAAATGGGCAATTCTGAAAAAGGGTTTGAGGACAACAATTGTTTCGTGTCCGTGCAGGTGGACAAATTTAGGTTCAAGCGTAGAAAACTGCATTTGGCCACGAGCTCGTGTCTGTTGGTGACAACTCAAGCACGCATGCATCATTATGCGTCAAACCATAATTGCCATAGCTCCCCCCGACACATACGCTTTCATGCTTTTATCGCTTAATCAGAGTAGCAACATCGTGTTTCTTGCAATTCCCCATTACACATTTGAAGACATCAATGCGCAAGATGGAAATGTAAAAGTGTTGAGTTTCCGCTCCACGACGCTTAAAAACAAAGCAGAGTCGCAATGGGCCGAGGCGAGCAACCCCCGGCAAATATGCAGCAGTTTCGGAACGTTTGTGATTCGCTTTCTGAGCCCTTGGATGCCCAGATTCTGGGTACATTCGAAGTTGAAACATGTTTATGACCCGGGGGAATGCACTGACAGGGAAGAACCCCAGGGTCTACCTCGATGTTGCCATCGGCAATCGCACAGGCAAAGCGGTTCCCGTGAATGTGGCGCTGTATTGACATGTTTGCTTTGGAGGCAGTGCAACCCCATTTTTAACAACTTGAGTTTTAGGCAACGGCAACAGACGAACGTTCAAAGCAGTTCCGCCCAGAGGTGGACGAGTCATCATCGAGCTCTTTGCTGATGTGACGCCGCGGACAGCAGCCTCGTTGTTTTTGCGTGCTTCCCATGATTCGATTCGGATTTGGTTATCTGTTTTCGTAAAAAAAACGTTGTCGACAATCTTTTTGCAGGACAGCCGAGAACTTCCGTGCGCTCTGCACGGGTGAGTATGGTCATCGCCTCATGCCGAATCCGAGCAGCCAGATGCCTGTAGGTTTGTTGGAGCTTGATTGTGCCATAGACCCCGGTCCTGCAAGGCTTGGGCCGCACGACGCGGAAGAAGCTGTGCTACGAAGGATGCCAGTTCTTTCGATCCGTGCATGTCTTAATTTTTGCAAATGCCAGTTAGGTCCGGTCCTGCACATGGATTCTTGGATCATTGTGGGTATCATTTTGTTTGAGAAGGTGTGCTGTAAGATCTGTCATGTTGCTTTCTTGATGGTAGTTGTAAAGCCAAGAAGGTTTACAGGTCCGAAAGTTTTTGGGAATTGGTGCTTGTGAATTTGGTCGCAGCCATTTCAAGGGTGTGTACCAGACCCTCAAGGCATGAAACTTGAATCCGAAGTTCTGAGGCTAAGAACTTCATGATCCAATCTGGAGACTTTCAGTTCAACAACGGTGATGGTGTGAGCCCTGGGAAAGCCTTCATTGTACCAAGACAGCTGTTAAGCTAACGAGCTTCGTGGTTTGGCGTTGCAAGGCCTTAATAAAAATGGCTGGTGCTTGTCATCATGGGTTTCGGAGACCCTCCACACTGGTTCTGCAGTGGAGTTTACCTGCACCTACAGCGTTTCGGATGACTTTCGCTTTGGCCTGGTTCAGGTGTGTGGAGAAGGTTATCAAACCACATTTTGGTTTTTGCGCAAGCTGGCGCAGCTTTCTTCATGCCGTTGTTGTTGGCACCTCCTTTTTGCCCTCCTTGTCTGCTGCAGGTGCTTTCCATGAGGGCGCAGGTAACTCGAAACAGAATCTTGATGTTACCTAAGGAGGCGAGAGCATATACGGCGGCACCTTCAACGACGAGGATTTCGCCAGACGCCACACGCAGGTTGCTTCAGCAAATTGTTTGCCAACTTGTGACAGCAGCTTGCAGAAGCTTCTTCCATTCCTATGAATGAGCTCTTGCTCCACCATTGTAGAACCCTGGTTGTCACTAATTTCAGTCTACTTTTCCACGTGATTGTCCATAATTAACCATTGAGATAATATCTCATAATCCTAAACACCATAACAACACTCAGCCATGCTTCCTTGCAGAAAGCATAATCATTCCTTGACAGGCCGGGGTAGTCAGCATGGCCAACAAGGGTGCGCTCCACAGCACACCTTGTGCTTTCAACAGGGGGCACCTGAATCATGTCTGTGCAAGACTACTTTCTACGGACACTTGGTGCAGAAATGGTGAGGATTGGCACCTTTTGAATGTGCAAGCATGTGCTTTGACACGTTTCTTTTTTACAGTGCAGCTGAGGTCGAAACAGCAACGGGTCCCAGTTCTTCATTACTCTCAAGTGCCCTGTCAGTTCAAAGTTTCCATGTTGTTTTTTCCGCCTGCGCATCTGCTTCAGGATTTGCTGTATGTAAGCTCTTCCCACCAATTTTCCACATGTAACAGGCACCTCGAAAGCTTATGTTCTCATTGACTTGTTCCCAGCTGATACATGTGAGCTACTGTCAATATTCTTACCGAAGGACCATCAACCATCAAGAGTCTAGTCCGTAAAATATTCCCTTATTGGGACCCATGTCCACTAACCTTCAAGGAAATATTGACTGTAGCTCATACATGCATATGTAAATATGTACATATCTATTATATTGCCCCTAGATAACTCCTATATATGCCTAATATCCCCTATGTAGTCCACATATTGACTGCAGCTCATGTGCGTTATTCAAGCAGCCTTGCTAATCGCCAGGCGAAGCGTGCAGCTTGACAACAAGCACGTCGCATTTGGACAGGTTGGTGGCCCATCACAGTAATAAGAATAAACATAAAAAACAGTAGTGATTGTAAAACGAGTTGTAAGCAATGCGAATAGCAACAGTTAGCAGAATAGTAATAATGGTACTAGTAGTAGCAAGAATAAACCATAGATTTTCTAGTAGAATTACTAATCAACATAGTAATAATTGCAACAGTAATACGATTAATGATAAAGTGTCATGCAAGAGATTCAAATAGTCTGGGTCCATGCAACTGTTACGATTTCACTGAGCAACGCCGACAAGTCTGACCTTAGCCCGTGTGGCTTCACGTGTCTTCCTGATTTCCGCGGACAACGTTGTTAGGTGGTGGAGGGCATGGACGTCATCCGTGCTATTTCGGCAGTTCCCACTGCCGTGCGCCCAGCATCCTGTTTCCACTTGAAGGTCAGCTCTTTCTGGGCTTGCTTCACGAAGCTGCAAGCCGTGGGCTGTGGGATCCGAGGATCGCGATGAGCGACCCAGGGTGCCTGTCACCATTGTTGGCTGCGGGGAGGTCGCTGAAACTGGATAGCACATGAGCTGAGTTCACGTAATCATGTCATGGCGCAGTGAAGGTGGGCGCAAAGTCAAGCAGCGGTCTTGAGCAGCAGAGTGAGTGCAGAGCTTAGCTTTCTGAAGCCAAGTGTCAGCTGCCTTGACTGAAACAGTCTTGTGTTGAGGATGAGCAAGCTCGTCACGGGCCTGTTTGAGGAGGATGCTCCAAAGGCCAGTCCACTGATACTTGATTGGCTCGCCATACCATGCTGGGCAGTTGCCGAGGTAAATGCCGCCCAGCAAGGAAAGCAGATCCTTGCCGGGAAGCCAGGTGGGGTCTGTGGAGTCGTGAGCTGCAAAGTTGCACGGCTTGCAGCCGGGACAGTGAAGGCGGCGCCCCTACTGGTGGGGAGATTAGCGGGACTGCCGTGAGACAAAGGGCGGCACAGGACTGCTCTGCCTAAGCTCTCTGGACTCTACGAACTGGACGTCTCAGCCATCTGTGCAACTTTGACGCTGCGGTGTCCGCAGAATTCTGCAATTAGCGCTTGAGTTGTTATACTCTGCAAGGAGCAGCAGGAGCCTGAGTCTGAGGGCCGCTTACCCAGACCAGTGATCTGTTTCTGTGTCCGCCGTGGTGTTGCAAGCTTGCTACCCTGGTGCTAGCATTTGGCCTTTTACTGCCAATCTGCAGTCTCAAGCACATGCAAGGAGCCGCTCGCTGAGGTGCTGGCATACCCCTGCCAAAAACAGAGCGCGAGAAGCGTCTTTATCAGCTGAGGCTGCTTGACATCTTCTTGGATAAGATTTAGAAGGGCTCATCGTCCTGCGAGATACTGCAAAGATGTATTTGACTACGTTAGGTTGGCCCTCTGAGCTGGGGAGTAACGCTTGTCGTGTGTTGTTTGAACTGCTGTTGGTTCATGTTCTTGACAGGCTGAAGATGAACCAGAGCACGCACCTAAGTGCTGGCTGGTTGATGATATGATCTAGTTCCCCAAACGCTGATAGAAAAACGTAGACGTTTGAGCCATGCTGCTAACCTCCTAGGCCGCGCAGCAAACAACAAGGAGGTACTGCCCCTAGCATGGTGCTGTTGGCAGCTTGTTCAGGGGATGCGTGCGCATTTGTGTCTTCTTGTCCTCGTAGTCGTGTGAAGATGTTTGATTGCGCACCTGTCATGCAGCAAAAAGAAAGAGATGTGGCGCTGAACTCCAGGTTGTTGAAGAGCAGAAGCGTGAGTCTGACCCTGGCTACTCAAAGAAGGTTGCAGCCAAGCAAGGGCCTTTGGAGCTTAAGCATGAGCAGGGCAACAGAGTCATGACTCAAGAGAGGTGCTGCGCCAAATTTGTGCTGCGTACGTTACATTGTTTTGCAAGATCCTCTTTATGGGAGTCCCATCCTTTCCTCCTGGCTGTCCCGAAGCCAAATTGAAAAGCCATCTTGTGCTGTGATATTCGAGGCCATTTTCAGGACACCAGGTAGTAGCATGCAGGGCCCCGCTGCCACCTGCTTGGGAGGTGTACCAGACAGCTTGGGAGCCGTGCTTGAGTGGTTACATGATATAGGGCAATTTTGCAGGCAGCGAAGCTGTGTACATTTTCATGTCCAAAGGTTTCTCCATATAAGCTTCTTCAGTGAATGTTTTCAGTACCTGTAGCATTTCGTATGATTTGAGAAGCCTCATCTACAAGTGTAAATCTGAGGCGGGCAGCAGAGGAGGAGAAAAAAGAGAAGGACGAGGCTGGGTTGCTGTGAACTGTTCTGGCGATCCGAAAAGCTATCCATCCTACTTGCATCCCATCACACCATTACACAAGCACAGTGCTCCTATATAAAATAACCCATTACAGAAGTTTCCATATTCCTTTCCATTATCCCCATATTATACCCCCCAATATACTGTCGCAGTTTCCATTTTATTTTCCATTATCCTTAATGATGTCAGTATTGGGCTCATGTCGTACCTTGCCTGGACGTCAACGATTTTTTAAAAGCATGGTGGTGTGGACGCGAGCAGGAGGAGAAAAAAGGAAGCAAAAAAAGGCGCATGTCTGAGCACACCGGAAGTCTTCTCCTTTGTTGACCTGGTTCAGTTTGTGGCTTGCCATTGTTGTTGGCGCTGCGCTCTCTCTGTGAATCAGGAATACTGGCATGCCAGAGGGCAAAGACTACCTCAATGATACAATGGAGCCAGTACCTCAGCGAAAGTCCATGGCTTTGCCGTTGAGTTTCGAAGCCAACTTGCTTTTGTAAGGACAGCAGAAGCCAGAGAAGCAAAGAAGAAGAAAGGCCACCCGGAGTTAGCATGTGCGAAAAAGGTTCTTGTTGTTGCCTTGTTTTTGTGTTGAAGACAGGCAACCCTGACGCGTTCGGTTGGGATGTCTTCAATCAGGACAACCCGCTTTGCTTGGCACGAAGCATCCTGCATGCGACATAACAAGCAGTGGCTCTTCTAGGGTGGCGGCAGGCTTGCGCCTGCACTTTTGCCCGAGCCGGTGCTAGCATTATTAAGATCATTTTTTTGTGCAGCACAGGCTTTTCGGTTTGTCTGTGCGCGCCGCGTTTAGATCTGGTAGATTGGAAAGCCTGGCTGCGCAGGATTCCCTCCTCCGTGCCCATGAGAAGCGCTTGAAGCACATTCAGTTCCAGCCCGAGGCTCTGGGACATTTTATGCCATCCTGTTGCTCTGTTTCCTCTTGGGCTTAGTGCTAAGGACAGAGTCTCACGCTTTCAAAGTTGCATGTTGAAGTTGCCACTGCGGCAGCGGACTGGAGTGCACGGTAAGTGCAGTTTGCAAGAGCTGAGATCATGCACTGTCATGTCAATAATTCAGATTGCAGGCGTACGAGAAGCAGAAAAAGCAAATAGAAGACGAAGGTGAGGAAGGCACCTTGGCATGCTGCTGATGGTCACAGTCAGTGGTGATTTGTTTTGTTTTTGATTCTAGGTTGACTTGAATTTGTGAGACCGTTCTGTTCAACTCCTTGTTCAGAGAAGTCTTGGAGTGCAAAAGTGGCATCCTATCTGGGCCTTGTTGTTTAGAATCTCCCGAAATTTGTCAGCTGACAGGTTTTGATCTCCTGTGTTTTTTTTTGTCTGCGAGGCCTGAAGTTTGCCGGCTTTGGTTTCAAGCCAACAGAGGAGGCCAGAAGCTTCAGCCTGCCCATTCTGCAAACACTTCGAATGCACAGGCCAAGAAGCGCCTCGGTGAAGCCATGGACAAGATTTTGGAAGCTTGTCCGCTTTCGTCCATGCAATCAGCCCCAAGCCATCAAGCCATCAAGCCTCTGCGCAAGGCTTTTGAATTGACCCGCTTGGTTACTTGGTGTTGAGTTTCAAGAGCGCTTACGGGGCTGCGGTTTGTGAGTGAGAGGCCTTTGCTCATTTCCACTGCCTGCACGTTCATGGTGCTGCACTTCTGGACTGATCCACACGTCTGGCTACTGAGGAGAAGAAGAAGGAGTTCTCGAGAAGGCTGCTAGAAATCATGTCTTTGACTATTGACCGTAGATCTTTGGCTTATGGCCGATGGACGTGTTGTTAGCAGACATCGAGGGTTTGGCCTGGTGAGCATGCTGGGAACGAAGGCGTGCCTACAACGACGAAGAAGATCGGACTTACGTCAACGAGAGGAATCGCACCTTGGAAGCAAAACAGTGTCGTGTAGTGCCGTTTTATGCCCGTAGTGGGTGCATCTCTCCGAAATAACAACATGATATGAGAAAACCCTGACAATCCAAACGCAAGCAGTTCTAACTGTGCTGGAACGAGTCTTCAACCAAGTGTGCTTTTCCTCAAAAAAATTACAAAGGTCAGCCTATGAGCGGGTTGTGCGAAGTCTAGCCTTATTTGAGGCTTCTTCAACAAGAAGCTGGATCGCTTCTTTGGCGACTACACGGAGGTGTGTACTTCGCAAGCGTTGAGTTGGTAGTCATTTTTTGTGATAGTGAAAGCAAACCACACCCTACCTGGCAGGAAACGCGCCAGAATCTCGAGCGTGGCACAGCGCTGTGATCAGAGGAAGTTGAAGGGAAGCCTAGGAGTTTACCGCTCTTGGGTCCTGCTAGCTCTTAGTACATACATGCTCTGCTTGAAGTAATTCAGAAAGATTCCCTCCAACTTTCTTTGATAGCCTCCTTGGTCTCTTCACAAGCTGCTCCTCGGCAAAGAATAGGCTTTGTTTCCGCAGCCTTCCTGCGGAGCTGAAGAACTTGTAAGTCGGATATTGGTTAGTACAAGACAAGACTTGGTGGCCATCTTGGCAAGACGGGTCAGCAGCTTTACCCAGGTGAAGAGCTCTGGTGGAAGCAAATGATCTGCGTCAGCCAGGATAGCCGAAACGCAGGCTGTGGCAAAAATTGAATGCAGATGCGCTGTTGGGACGTAAGTAGGAAGGTTCGTGTGTTTGAGTCTTTGAATGATGGATGCCGGTGATTTTTGTTCGGCTGCGCTTGAGTTCACGAACAGATGAGTTAGAGCCTCACCCCACCAGTCTTCTGCAACTACATGCACTTAGACTGAAGGTCATGTGCTCAAGCAGCATTCCTGATAGCGTTCATGGCGCAGCTTTTTATCAACAAGTTTTACACCTCGTGCACTTGCAGGTAGCCAGATGCAAGCACGGCCACAGCACTGGCCCCCACCCGGCCCAATAGATAGTGAGGCAACTATCTGTGCCCTCGTCACTTGAATGCATGGCCTCTGAAGAGCGACCGGCTGGCACCCTGCGTGTGTACTTCGAAGACAATACGTGGCGGAGCTGAGAGCATGTATCGAAACTGTGTGTGTCCTTGGATGGTAGGATTTTGTGAGGATGAGCCATTGCCTTGCTGCTTCCAAGGTTTAGAACGTTGCCACTCAAGCCGGAGTCCACGGTTCAGGAACGGCGCTGCGTCCTGAAAAGAATTGAGAGCCAACCGGTGTTTGTCACAATTGTTTTCAAAGGCTGCAGAGGAATCACTTTAGGTATCCTGATCATTGTAATCGAGAGCACTGGTAACAGAAGAACAGAAGAGCGCAAACCTTGGGCGCTATCTTGAATGGCGAGAATCATGTATGGTCGTGAGGCATTTTCACAAGCCACGCTGCGCATAGCTGGTGCTGCAGGGAATGGGTGGTGATTTTGATCTACCCACCATTATGATGAGATGTGTGGGGATTGTATCAAGGCCATTGCAGGGAATCCATCCCCCACTCCCCTGCAACCACTAGCAAGTGGCAGGATGTGATCGAGTCACTGTGCAAGCGGCGAGCTGCCAGTGGCAGGGAAGCGGATCCCGACAGGTGCACGAAGGGTCTTGCATGGAGGTTTCTAGAAACTTATGGGAAAGATGTATGCCTGGGTAGGCTTTAGATGCATACATAGTAATATTGAGGATTTTGGGTTTACGGTTCTGTCAACATACTGCATTCTTTTCTCGGCTTATTTGGGCTTTATCCAGTTTCGTGCATGAGAGCGAGGTTACTGGCCGTTGTGGACCTGTAAAGTACAGCAACGCTCCGGATGATCTCTGGGAACTTCAGGACATCCTGAAATCTGAGCCCAGGTGTTCATGATTGATCTCAGAGATGGCCTGACCCGGGGAGCACAAGTCCCTTCCTGCGGGGAGTATACCCTAAATCATATTGTCCCCCAATCAAGATTATCCCTAGAAACCACTATACATTCTCAGTTTCGATTCCATTTTCAATTTTTCCTATTCGATTTACATTATTGCGGGTAATATATCCATATAGTCCTCATACATCCCTATATGACCCTCATACAGCCCCTATAGCCTATAGCCTATAACCATTATCCAGCAGCTGTACTCGGCAATCTGAGAAGCCAGGCACGAGCTTCTCTTGAAAGCTCCGGGCCGGCCGAAGTTGCGAGAACGGCTTCTGCTTCGAGAGGCTACGCTTTATATGGGGCTGTCTAGGGATATGTTATTCCCAATACTGGAGAAATCAAAATTGCAAAGACAATGGAAAATCAAATGCTTACTGGGAGTACTTAAAGTCAAGCAAGCTCTCAAGTTACCGGCCAAAAGCCTGAACCCTAAGCCCGAAACCCTATATAACCTATTATAGTAGTTTCCATTTTCTTTTCCATTATCACCTTATTACCCTAATGGGTGACACATTTGCCGGTTCCTTGCGTTACACCTGAGAGGAGCGGCCGCTTCAGATCCAGGCGGCCTGTGAGAATTCAACTTCCAAAGCGGAACGCTGCCTTTCTGTGTGAGTTATAATCAAAACTCCCTAAATGGGGGATTATATAGGGAAATATTATAGGGGGATATTCAGGGGGATACTGTACTATGTAGACTACAGCTCATGTAGGGGTTCTGTCGTGAATGTCCTTGCATGCACCAGGACCTGGCTGAAAGCAAGATAGACAGGGATTTGTGTCCTGTGTGTGAGCAGTAGGCTAAGGCTAGCTAGTTCTGCAAGATGTGATGATGTGATGGGAAAGGGGCCGATATCACGTCAGGAGAAGGGTGGCAGCAGTGCTTTCAAGTTTCTATTCCGCGAAGTTCGGCAGACAGGACCTGGATGGCACGATGACGATGTGGTGTCCTGCCCGGCAAATCTGGCATCTACATCCTTGCCAGGACCAGATGCTCAAGACGAAGACGGCGGTGATGGCAACATTGGCATGGGACTTACCCAGCTGCATCCACAGGAGCAACCATCAAGTACTAGGTGTCCGAATTATGCATGGCCTGGTTAAGCAGAGCCTTCTGGGCTTGTGGGCAGTTTGTTTTTGTTTATAGGTGGGTGCTGCTGTCAGTCTCCATAAAGCCATAAAGTAAAGCCTGACTTGCTATTTCATATAATTTCCCATAAAACACACCCTAATATGGAACCCAAAGCTTTATGATTCTTATTATAGGGACCCCGCGAGAATACACCTAATTTTGGGAAACCCAAATCGCCATAAATCACTATACATCCCACTTTACATGTCCATTTCATTTTACATTTGATTCTCCATTATTAGGGCTAACATCAGGAATTGCTGAACACGTGTTTCTTTTATAGGTTTAGGGGATTCACAGATTTGCTCAGATGAGCTGCTGCTGCCGCTTGCCGATAAGGCTGGGGCCGTGCTGTCTGCTGTGTCACTCGACAGGGTTGCCGTTAAGGGACTTAATTTGAGTTACTATATGGGGGAAACGCTATGAATTACTATATATACCCATCATGGTAACTTAATGCAAATTTCTGAACAGCAACCCTGCTGGTTTGGACCATTGGAACATTGGAAATGGGAAAGAGCAGGGAAACTTCTGCCTGACGATAAGGTATCTTTTGGGATTATAAGGGGTTTATTTAGGGAAATTACCGCAATAGTGGAGAGCCGCATGGAAGAAAACTTGGACAATGTTATGGAAACTGGGTTTCTGTAATCGTTCATGAGGTTTCGGCTCCTCAAAGTCAGACTATCGAACCGACCTCATTCAACAACAAGCTCATCTGCCAAATGTTTAAGTATGTCCCATCCCAGCGCCGAAGCGCAAGTCAATCTGCAACCGCAGTATGTGCATGGCTATTGAACAAAAACAAGGGGTACCTGTCTGGGCCCTATAATGAGGATCATGGCATCTTCGGTGTCCATGGGGGAGGCCCGAATTTTGGGAAACTACCAAATCTGCTATTAGCAAGACTCAAGGATGTCACCACGAGCGACGACTGTCACAAGTGCAGGAAGAGGGCAGCAATGATACAGTAATGATTGAGACAACTGCGCACTCGTGTCGGTGGTTTGTAGGCAGTGGCTGCATTAGTACTAACAGTAACAAGAATAGTACTAATATTCATAGTAACCTAAACCCCGAACCCTAGGCAGTAGCATTAGGTAGAGGCAAGCGCGTCTCATGTCGGATTGTATCCTACAGTTAATTTAGTATCATTAGCTCTTAACCCTAAACCCCAAACCCTAAACCACCGATTCTATCCGTGCGCCTGCGAGGCTTACAATGTGCATTTGGACTTTCTTTGCCTTCAGATTCTCTGGGCTCATGTCAGCTACAGTCTACACTCCTCGAAGAGGATTAAATAGGGGACTACTATACGGTTTATTAAGGGAGATACCAGGAGGTCAGACTATAGCTCATGTTAGGAATACCTCGTGACCTCTTGCGACACATTCAGAACTCAGAACAGCTAGTGCAGCTAGCGCCTGTCTGCTGCCAAAGCATTGAGACTTTGAGACTTGACATCTTAGAGCAGGAGCCCAGATATCCAGGCCTGTACTTCAACACTAGAGTCATGACCAGCTACTGTATGTTGATCGAGAATCCGTGAATATCAGCTTGATTCGGCAGGGTTTGGCACGAAAAGAGCATTGCGAGCACCAAAAAACTCCCTGTCAACCGTTATGAATTCCTGGAAGCTCCAAGCCCCGTATCAAGCTATCATGAGCATGCTTACGTAACTTGAAAGTCGCGGCTTAGTCCGGTATATTCATGTCTACCCTGCGATCTCTGGATCCCTGGATCGTAGCTTCAAGCTAAATACTCCCGAACCTTCAACCCTAAGCCCAAAATTTTGACCCTGTGATCTCGAAAGAACTCTTACCTGCTGAGAGGGTGGGCGTCTGCGCACACGGTCTCTCGAGCTTCGTTGCGACAATGGATGGCAGCGGTGCAGAGCCGGGGGCAAAGAAGTCTAGCACGAGTTGTCAAGCTTGCAGTGCGAAGTACAAAGCTCTGCAGTATTTAATCCGCAAGGCGGCAGCCATTTCTTGGTGATACGCTTTTCCACTCGAGCATGTTCACCGCAAACCCAGGTTGCCTTGGACGGTGAGAGCCTCTGGCACTCGCAGGCGGCATGGGCTGGAGTTTGGGATGAACGTAACAGTTTGCCTCATGGTAGTTTCCATTTTCTCTTCTACATGCTTATATAACCCCAATGTAACCCTAATAGAACCCCGATGGATACCCTTGTGTGTTGCGTAGCCTTTCACTGTCTGTCTTGGTGTCGGCCTTGCTGTCGGCTGTTGCTTTCCGCAAGGATGATGGCGAGGT